ACAGCACCCCTACACGTCGGACAAGTTGAGCGCGCCCATTCGGGCCACATGCATTCCGAAAGGGTGGATCGTCAAAGCCCCGGGTCGGAGAATTCCTGCGAGTCCAGGCCGGAGAGCTGTTTGGTGAGGCGCTCTCGCTGGTGATGCTTTGGCCGAGACCGGCTTCGGGCTCCGGGCGCCTGGAGATGCCTGGAGCCTGGACTTAACTTGCAGGCACCGGTGGCAATGCTCTACTCGCATGGGAGCGGTGGGGCGGCAGCCGACAGCGCTTCATCCGAGGACTCCCGACTCAGCGTCAAGCATCGGACTTCTGACGGTCTGGTGTGCGCCACACTACCTGTGAGCCCGCAAGTTCCCATCAGACCAGGACAGCTGCACGGGCTGCACACGTGGCAGAATGTGTTACCGACATGGCCCCAGCCACCGATTCACGCCTTGCCCGACTCCCGACCATGAGTCCAACCAACTCATCGGCGCTGCCTGCATTCTCCGGACGTTGCGAGAACATTCACAGTGATAGCATGTCTACACCCTGCGACTGACGTTGTTGCCAAGATCCACGGTACTGGTGCCCTCTGCTGCCCTTAGAACCATTGCAACACTTTTTCAACCTGCGCGGCGCGGCTGAAGCAGATGACCCCAAGCAGAGACGATCGTGGGATGTCCGCCCTGGCAAAGGAGTATGGAAGAGTAGAGCCGGCACTTAGCGATTATATGTTAGCCAGCAGCGCCCGGATGGTTCTGAAGCTGACATAGCAAGCTGGCATCCAAGTATTCGACGCATGCGACGGGACTCATCAATCAGACGCCAGGCTGCGGCGAGCAATGAAACTACCAAGCTGACGATGGGACCCGTCGGTGCCTCCTTGGAACATGCTGCTGGCTCCAAGGCTAAAGCGGGGCAAGACCACTCGGCTTTGCCTGCTCACCAACCCGAGTTTCGGCAGGACAGGCGACAGAAGTTCAAGGCTCACGGACCTGGATCGAATGAAAACGCCTCCGTCATCAAGTCCTCAAAGTTCAACTGCACCTGCCAGGACCAAAACGGCGGCAGCTGCCTAGACGCCTGGCTCCTAGAGAATGCAACAGACCTTTCAGATCTTAACCGCTGAACTCCGCACCTGCGCGACAGCAAGCCTGCTGTCAGGAGGGCGCCGAGAGAAGCAGGAAATGCCTGAAGCAAAACAGATTCTAGTGACTTGGCGTACGTCCAAAACCCAGTCTCCCACTCCCACGCCATCTTCCACCCATCTCACAGCCAGTACAAGAGCCTGCTCTGTTCCTGGTAGACAGGGCTAGGGTTGACTTTTTTCCCAAGCAGTTTACTGCCGGGGTTCTTGAAGATTGAAGGCTTATCTCCCCAGTTGCTCAGTTGGGCAGTGCGTAGCCACTGTCCTCCTTTTGCTCGATTCAACCCTCAAACAGTTTGCTTTGAGGATTCTTGGTGATATGTGAACGCAGATTTGACGAAAAGCATCTGGAGAAAGTTGCAAACCGCTCGAAAGAGACTAGACAACGCCGCTGGAGATAGAGACTAAAGAGGTTGATGAAGAGGATACTTTAAAAACTAGGAGCACGCCAGTCGAAGCGGAGCACAGTATCTGAGAAACAGAAACAAGCCGATCAAAAAGACCGAGAAGTAGAGAATCTGGGAGACATTGGCAAAGGAGAACTTGAGAAATCAAAGCAAACCGGTCAAAAAGTGATTGGATAGGTGGAGACGAAGAGCCATGCAAACCGCTCGAATGAGAGAAATTTGAGAGAAGGAGCAAACCGATCGACGAGGTTGGAAATTATCAGAAACAAGAGCAAGCCGTTCGCAAAGGGAGAAAGAGAGTCAAACCCGTCGAAAAGACCCGACAATTTGACAAACAATTGATAAAGATGAGCAAACCAGTCGAAAGGGAATAGAAAGTTTGAGAAGCCGGCACAAACCGCTCAAAAGAATTCGACAAAAAGAGTATGTTGAGAAACCGCGGCAAACCGGTGGAAAGGGACTTTCGAGAGAGACGAGCAAACTGCTGGTATCCTGAACGGGGCGTGGAGGAGCCCGAGTCGCTATGGAATGGCTTTCCTGTTCGGGGCTGCTGCCGGCCCGCAACGGGGGGAGCTGTGTGGGTCCTTTGTACTTAGTCTCTACACCACTAGATAAAACCTCGATGAGCTCGAAGAAGACAAAGAATCTCGAAGACGAGGAGTCCATGGTTCGCACGAAGGGTCGGATAAGCTGACAGGACGAAAGCCACCCGACCGCGCAGCGTCGCGGAGCAAACCAGTCGAAAGGGACTGTAGAACTTCGAAGAAAAACTAGCAAGCCGAAGGAGACAACAAAATTCGGCACAAAGGAGAGCAATGCTCGGCTAGGAAGAAGAGGTGCGATGGTTTGACAGGAGCAATGAGAAAAACTAGCAAACATGTTGAAAAAGATATCAGGGAAAAAAAGCGTCGCCAGATCTTAAGAAAAGGTGCTGCTGGTGGTGGCGATTGTGGGTGTACAGCTGCAGCTCAAACTTGACCATTTACACTCCCGAAAACAAGAGTCGCTTTTGGTGACAGGGATTCAAGTGACTCCATATCTTCTCGCCCGCGGTTTCCCAAACCCCTCTGCACATACTGACACAGACTGTAACAAAAAGACAAGCCTGGAAAACTCCCGTCCCCCTGTACTCCAGCGGCGCCTCATGCATGCCCGCGCCCTCTGCTCCGCCTCACCTTCCCGGTTGGGGAGCATCGATGATTTGGGTTGGTGATCTTGTACTGCAACAACTACAACTTGAACAACAAACAAGAGGAAGCTCGGGTGGGGCGGCGTTCCAGATCTTGTCTGTTCTTGCGAAGCACAAAGCCTCATCCACCATCCAGCTGCAAGCAAAGATCCATGGAAGCTCACGGGCACGAAAGCGACGGTCAAACAAACAAGACATTCCACAAGACTGCCGGGTATTATCATCGAGAGCTCTGCTGGGCCTAGCAATACTACTTTACATTGATTGCAGGAGCCAGCGTCAGACTACGAGCACATGACCGCGGGGCCCGACTCGACTCTTGCATCTATCATAATATGAATTCACAAAGCCCCTTCGGAAGGATTTGGTTTGAGCCAAGGTAAAAAGCACCGTCACCCCGTGTTCCTCCGCCTGCCTGTCGCCCCCTTTCCTGCAGGTGAGTCCCGGAGTCTTCACGCAGCTTTTTCCCTCGTCTCACCTCTTTGCAAAGCCCGGCCTGACGAGCCTGGTTTTGGGAGCTTCAGCTCTGCCGGTACTAGAAAACAAGAAGCTGGCATGAGAGCTTTCAAACTTCCCATGCGACACAAAGGGAGCAGCGGTAGCGCAATTTGCGAGGTGCGCAGTCGCAGTTTCAAGTCTGCCAAGGGGTCCCATGCTTAGACGTCCGGCGACCCTGACGTCTGGAAGGGAGCGTTTTGCGACGCTGACGTATGTAACAGACTTGAGGACAGGGAACAAACCGTGAGAAAGAGACAGGATTCTACAGAATTTGAGAACAAGGGGCGAACCAACCGAAAGAGAACAGAGAATTTGAGAACAAGCAGCAAACCGCTCGAAAGAGACTAGAGAATTTGAGAGCAAGGACCAAACTGTTCGAAAGAGACTAGAGAACTTGCGCAAAGAGGAGCAAACCGCTCGAAAAGACTAACACATGGAGAAAAACCGCTCCAAAGAGACTGGAAAAATTGAAAAAAATAGCAAACCGCTCGAAAGAGACTGACATGTTGAGAGCAACAAGCGAGAGACTTGGAGAATGTAATAACAAGGAGCACACCGCTCGAAAGAGACTAGAAGTTTTGAGAACAAGGAGCTAAACGCTCGAAAGATACCAGAGAAAGAACAAGGAGCAAGCCATTCGAGAGGAACTATGTAGTTAATTTGAGAACAGGGAGCAAACCGCTCGAAAGAGGCTACGAGGAGACACACCCGGGCGATACCGGCACGTCTGGATGAAGCTTGTCACGAAGTAAAACAAAAGCTTGTGTGGCTTGTCAAGGTGTTTTCTGCCCTCCTCGAGGCTTCATTTGTTCCTTCTGCCTCAGGGGCCACTTGAAGCCCCTGCAGGGCCCAATTAAACCCCATTGTGCCAGCGGGAGGGCGTTCTTCAAGACCTCTAGGTACTCTAGGTGGCAGGGGGTACACGAGGCGACCTTTCAAATCCCGTCGTTGGGTTAGGAGGGCTTTTGTCTCAACATTTCGGGTTTGAGGAATCTCGATCCGGGGAACAGAGGGGAACAGAGGGGCCAGTGAAAGCCCTTTCCGCTGATGGGAAGGTTTTTTTGGTCATGGAAACGTGGCGAGGTAGAAGAGAAACCCCTGCGCGGGAAAGAAGGATTTGTTCCGACCCCGTGCACATTGGTGCAGATACAAATAAGACCCTGGACTTTTTCAGGGCGGAGGGCTTCCGTCGGACTCTGTCCATGCATGCTCGAGAGGCTGTTGAGCGACGGGCTACCCAGGGCAGAGATAAAGCCTTTCCGACAGTACCCAAATAAATATCCTTCGGGGACCAAAAATAATTCAGCCCATTCAGAAAATGATCAAAGTAATGGCGGGATTCTCACATCTCCAAGCCAAAAACAGTCGCTGCATTGGAACTTACCATGAATCGGGCTTTGCGGAGGACGCGGGGGCAGCGGGACTGCATCAAAATGGGACCTCGCGGACGCCATGTGGACAAACTCGCCTCTGCTCTGTACTTCTAACTTACGCAACGGTTGATGATATAAATCCTGCATTACCTATAATAAGGCATATACCATAATTCCCATAGTTTAGGGCCCTTAAGGTAATGCAGGATTTATATCATCAACCGAAGAACCCCAGCCACGGGGAATGATAAACACAAAAGTTCCTCAATTCATCGTTTCTGAACTCTCCGAAGTTCAGCAGCCTGGATTCCCCCATCAAGAAGCCTCAAGACCGCTCTTACATGAGTGATGCCTTTTTTCTCACTTGGCTCGCTCGCATGGTCTTTCCCAATACATCGAGATCATGAGAAGCCCTGAAACCCAACGCGTCCCCAACGCTGACAGGAGCTTCGAGCCGTTGCTGCGACACTTCTGCCAGACTTCCATCTTCAGCTCTGAGCTTGCTTGGGTCCTCGGAGCCCTTAGGCATCAAGGGTGAACGACATGGGCGACGCCCGAAAGCAGAGGGGAGCTCTGGAAAGGCCTCGGCTGCAACGCCAAAGCCACCGCTCGCGCTCCCTGTGGTTCCCAGCAGGGCCTGCAGCAGGGCCGTCGGCAAGGGCAGTGTCGGGAGCCTCCCACCAAAGCACTGCGCCACGACAACGGACTTGCATGAAAACGAAGGAAACGGAACTGCGCCTGGAGACAGGCAAAACAACATAGCCGCCATGGCCCTTCAGTGCGGCAGACCCAACCCTTCGTTTTGGATTTTGGTTGATTTCGAACGTCACTGGCAGCCGCTGGCAGGCCGAGGACCCGCTGGCCACGAGAGGATGCCTTCGGAAGGACTAGGATTAGTGCCCTCACGAAGCACGGAGACGTCCAAGTCAGGCGGCGGCAGATGCCTGAAGTGTGTCCAGGCAGCCGGTGTATGCTGGACACGGCAGGAAGGGCTGACGCTTCTCGCGACACACTGCGAAAGCGTCGCAGGTGAAAGCGGAGAGCCTAAACGACCCGGCCGTGTCTCAAGCCTGAGACATGGCTGCGGACTTTCAATCCCGTGACCGGACCATCTCGCAGAAGAAAGGGCGGCTGATATCAACTGCACATCGCTGCTTGCCAGATTCAGCCTGGAGTTCTTAAGGCCAAAGAAGAGCAAGATGCCCGCCAGCTCAAAGCAACGCTCACTTACGAGCCCGCAGAAGCTAGCGGCAGCTAGCGAAGCAAGGGAACGATGCACTTTGCCCGCTGCATCCCAGGCACAAACACAGGGTTCGAGTGTGAGATAGCCTAGCCCCCGATCAACCTTGATCCCTAATTTCAAGCCCAGGGCGTAGAGTCAAGAGAACCTATCGGTGGCTCTGAAGACCTAAGGAGGACTCGACTATCCTGAATCGGGTTTGGAAACGTGAATCGACGGCTTTGGCACTTCAAGCTTGGACTCTGCTGCAGAGCTGAACTTTTCCCAACTCGGTTGCTATCGCTACAGTGAATAGATGGGCTTCTTGTTGAAGGTGTAAACGAAAACCTGAAGGGTGGATGGCACCGTCTTCAGTAAGGATGCTCTTGAGTCTGAGGGGAAGTGCCGGGCGCAATGACAGCAGCCCACCTGCTCTGATCGCAGTGTTTCCAATCTTGGTGCAGCAGTTTGCATGCCACGCTTTGCACAAACTCCGAGCTATGCAGACCTACGTTGAACGAGAGAGACTGCTGCAGACCGGGAGTACTTCAGAGGTATGCAACCACCAGGAGGCGAGCGTAGTCTAAGCACCACAGACCTCCTGCTAGCATGCACACCAGATGGCAGTCTACGAAGACGTCCAATTTCAGGCTGACTCGACATGCACTTTGAAGGGCGCTGCGCCCATTTTTCGCCCAAACCTTGTAGCGCCCGCACGATGCTTCCATGGCACAGTTGCAAACATTGCAAACTCAACTCGAACTGCTCGTCTGCGCACTCCAAGTGGATGGGTGTCGCAGGCTTCGTGCTACGACACACCGTGGAAGCCACGTGACTTCAACACAAGGTTGGCTTTTTCCGGCATGTGCGCAGGCGCCTTGGGAAAGTGGTGCCACTACACTCCGGCTCTCCTCTTTGCCTGGGCCGGTGCGGGTGCGGGTGCTTGCCTCGTCTCTTAGCCTCGGCAGCAGCTGGCAGAGGCACGTGAGAGGGCAAGCGCAGCGTCGACGGTGGGCCCGGGTATTCTGAACATGCGCCGCTAGTTAATCTACTCCTAAAGCCAATGATGATGTACGGTCGGATAGCCTTCAACAGGCAAGAAAATCACAGTTTTTTTGGCAACTGCGAGCCCAGTTGATCCCGATGCAACACACGGGATGCAACGGGTAACGCACAGTTTCAAGTGGCTTCGCATCGCAACGACGTCCACGAAACCAATCGACTTTACATGCATTTGCTTGCATCTAGAAAACTTCTCAGACTTGCCCGGAACGCGAGCTGGCCTCAAGGTGATGCCATGGGGCGGTCCTCGTAGCACAGTGCGACGGGCAACAGAGCGAAGAACTCCCGTGTAGCACCACTGAAAACAGGCTGCGAGCTCGTTCTTGTGCCGTGCAGGACTGGGATGGAACCACAGTGACCGCTACGTCCTCCGGAAGTTTGGACCAAGTTGACTTTAAAGTTGCCATGATGCTGCCGAGACGACTTGAAACCCAGCCTCTTCACCTTCTGGCATCTGTAAGCCCATGCCTGTCTAGCCTGGGACAAGATGAGGCACGGCTTCCTACAGCTGGCGTACGGTTCACTTATTGTCACCTTAACCCCAGAACGCCTTTGAACATTGTCGGCTGCACTCTTTCTCAGATTGGCTTCTGACGACACCTGCTGAGGGCACAAGTGCTCCGGATGCGTTGTTGGGCAGGGCGGCGGCTGGTCTTGCGCCTACACCATCATTCACCGCAGCAAGGGCAGCACGCATGCCTGGGTGTCCAGGACGTCGATCTAGCCTCAAGGTGATGCGATGGGGCCGTCCTCGTAGCACAGTGCGACATGCAACGGAGCGCAGAAAGCAGGTAGTGAGCTCGTCCTCGTGCGTGCTGGGACTGCGATGCAAGATCGGTGACCAGCACGTCCCCCGGAAGTTTGGATCAAATTGGCTGTAAGATTGGCATGATGTTGGCGAGACGATTTGAAACCCAGCTTCTTCATCTTCTGGCACCTTTGAGCCCATGCCTTTCTAGCTTGGGACAATCCAAGAGGCACGATGAGGCACGGCTGCCTGAAGCTAGCGTAGAGTGGATTGTCTTCTGACGACAACTGCCGAGCTGAGCAGCCAGTGAACAGGCGTGGCGTGGAGCCGCGAGCGGCTGGTCTTGCCCCATCCATTGTGGCAAGGGCAGCAGACAATTCCGGGACTTGAACGCAAGCTTGGATGTCTAGGACAGAGATCTGGCCTCAAGGTGATGCCATGGGGCCGTCCTCGTAGCACTGTGCGACGCGCAACAGAGCGGAGAACTCCTGTGTAGCACCACTGAAAACAGGCTGGGAACTCGTCCTTGTGCCGTGCAGGACTGGGGTACAAGAGCGATGACCAGCACGTCCTCCGGAAATTTGCATCAGCAACAAGGCCTCACATTGAAGCATACGCTCCGTTTCGAGTGGTTTCAATATCACGTCGCAGCGTTCAAAAACTAGGCTATCGAGCTTACACGTGACTGGGTCATGGATTGTTGGGTTCAAGGCTCGGGCGCAATACAGTGTGTTGAAGGATGCGGCTGCTCCTGCCAGTATGCTAGCATTCTCCGCGGTAAGGATAGCACACAGTTCCCGGACTTTGTCTTCGCTCTTGAACGCAATCCGGCCTCAAGGTGATGTCATCTGGCAATCATCGAAGAACAGTGCCGATTCCGAAAGTCCCCGCAACTCCCGAGCAGCTGCAACACAAGAGCGATGACCAGCACGTCTTCCGGAAGTTCGGATCAAGTTGACTTCAAGATTGGCATCTGGCATCTAACTCTGTCTCAGATTGCATTCTGACGACACCTGCTGAGGGCACAAGTACTCTGGATGCATTGTTGTGTACTGAAACAAATAAACAAGCCTGACGTGGGCGGGCGGGCGACTGGTCTTGCCCCGTCACCAGGATCCACCGCAGCAAGGGCAGCACGCAAGCCTAGGTGCACGGGCCCGTCCTCGTAGAACAGTGCGACGGGCAACAGAGCGCAGAACTCCTGCGCAGCACCTCTGACAGCATGCCGTGAGCTCGTCCTTGTGGCGCGCAGGACTTGGATGCAAGAGCAATGACCAGCACTGCCTGCGGAAATTCGTATCAGCCACGAGCCCTTGCGTTGAACGGTGTTCTCCGAGTTGGTGACGACATCCAGCGGGACCAGCATGGCCAACGCAAACATGGATTAGAGCGCGAACTTCATTTCCAATCAAGCATGCCAGAAGCCTCGAAGCAAAGTCTTGCAAGTCTGGGCCGGATTGGGGCAAGGCTGGCATTTCCCTGCAGCATGCACTTTATGCCCGTGTGACGAGGGGCCAGAACCGACGCATTCTCAGCGGATTCCATGGAAGGCAGGTCAACTGGACTCAAGGTGATGCCATCGGCCCATCCTCGTGGAGCTCGGACAAGGTCAGCCTCAAGAGAGCGCCGAAGATTGGCGCTGGTCTTCGACTTGGCCCTCCGCCGGACAGACTTCTCAGGCTTGAGAGCCCGGACGGCACATGCATTCTTTCTGGCCTTCTCAGGCAGCCACCCTGCCAATGGGCCGAGTGCCAAGTCTGAACTCGACGGGCCCTACTCTAGAGCCTCGAATCCCCCAGCCGGCGATTTTCACATTAAGCTGGCACTCGAAACGCACCGTCGGGATGGGTCCCACAACCGCAGCAATCTGCAGCTCGGTATTCCATACAATCCAGCCATCTCGATGCGATTGCCATGAGTGCTGCGTTGAGAACCTGTCCAGGTCATCGGCCCACAACTACTACTGCCAAAAGCCTTTCATCGGGAGTGTTTGCTTGTAGGGAAGTAGAAGTGCACGAAAGCCCGACCTTGCAATGCACCTGTAGAGTGCAAAGGCTCCAATCTTTTGCCCAGCTCCACGACAGCCACGACAACTCGATTTGCTCATCGAGTTGGTACTTGGGTGGCTATGCCCCGTTCTCAGCACAGCAGAGAGCCGTTTTGGAAACTGCAGGCAATCGCTTGCCAGCCTTCACGGATGTGAGCAAGCGCACACACGCACACCCAAACCCCACGCGATGAACTTCACATCTGGGCATTCGTGAGACCCTGCTACAGGCTCAACACGACGAGCTCTGAATGAGTCGCTTGATCCCAGAAGCACCGTGGAGCGGTTCTGGGTGAGAAGAGTTCCTGAACGTTCTTTGCAGAAGGAAGGACACCTCCTAGAATCCTAGAGTTGGTTGGATCTTCTCTTTTTGTGGTCTGGAGTACAGAAGAACGACCCAGTGCCCAGCTGGTATGAACTCGTTGCAAGAAGCCCCTGGATTGCATGTGGCTCAAGGATCTGACCCGTCCGACGGGCAAGCTCTGTGCCACAGGCTCAGCATTGCCTCGTCCTGCGCACACAAAGTCTCGCACCGAGAGCTGCCCACCGGCCTGGGACGAGAGTTGCAGGACACGCCCTTGGATCTGCTTGCCTGATGTGGCATCAAGACGCCCTGCATCGCAGTCTCGTCACATCAGGTACAGGTGCATGCGGCGGGGAATGCGGATGCGATCTCGGCAGGTACCACCAGCT